CAGTTTGTACCTTGCATACCTCAAAAATAATCATCCTTTAAAAAATAATTTAATTGTATCATTAGCAATCCAATATGTCAAACTTTGTCACCTTAGCCCATACTTACTTGTTACTTTCAAAGGCTAAAAATTAAGAAGTATAATCTAATTCACTTGAGTCATTCATACCCCTTACTATAAACACTTCCTATAAAGACCAGTCTACCAGAGTGTATATTTAGGCTAGCTATTATCCCACACTATATTTAATAACATGTACTTAGACACCAAACTTGTAACAACATGTAACCAGTGAAAACTGATGAAGATGAACTCAGAACCAACTCACCAATTGTTGGCATAAGTGCTACCCTGAAGGATTCATTTGGATTAAAATAGCATCTTATCAAGGATGTTTTGCCAACACCTGTCTCACCAATGAGGAGAACTTTGTAAGTAACATCGTAATCTTTTTCTTGTAATGACATCATTCATGTAACATCTAAGGCCTCAACATCACCCATGTCTTATCAAACAGGTCTATATATTCAGCACAAAGTGCTCATCTCTCTTTGGAACATAATCCATGAAAAAAAAAAAAAACATTCACATTTGTCAATATTGTCCTTGAGAAAGTGCAAAAAAAGAAACAGTTATCCTACAATATAGCACCTTACACATGTGGATTGTGCTAGACAGTTAACAAATAAAATTTCCTCAATTCTTTTTCTTAGAATGTAACAAATGGAAATTTTTATCAGCCAAAATTCAATGCATTAAATAAAATTAATGATATTTTGACCAATGGATGATATACCAGTTGGTAATACATCAATTCAGGAAATTGCAGAAAAGAAGCCTGAAAAAATCAACCCTTCAACATGATTTAACCTCATGCCCCCAAGAAGAAGCTACCACCACTTGAGGAACAAGACCACATGTTGGGAGCCAGGCAAATCTGAGTTTGTTCCCACAAAAGAATATGATAAATCATATTTAACCTACTAAAATTGGTTTTACCTCCAGTTAATTTCTCAAGGTTTATGAAATAATTTTTTATCCATTCTAATATTAACCTCTTGAGCTGAACAAAGACCAGTGCTGCAAACCATCAATATTCGACATACTGATTTCTCAGTCTTGCATTCCATATAGGGTCATAACAGCTCACGTCACGTGAGTGAAGTCATTCATTTATCTCGTGATATATTTATCTACCGATAAATTTATCGATTAATAAATTTACCGATAAATTTACCGATTAATTTTCTCGTGATAAATTTATCTACCGATATATTTATATAGCATATGTTCGGATCGCAAGGTGAGCAAAATTCAAATACATTTAATCAGTAATACATTTGTCTCATTGATTAAACGCGAATAAAATGCATATTGATTCTGATTGGTTGACCGATTGGATGCAAAGCAATCGAATGAAGAGTCACGCCCTGATCGCAGCACAGCTCTATCAAGAAATGAAACTAGTCTATATATGCTGTGATATTCCAATACAAGGAAAACAAACAATGTGGATGTAAGTAAAATGACAGAATGGACCCGTGGAGAACTTCCGAGATTTCCGAGAAAAATAATCGAGAATCTCCCATTATCATTTCTGTTATAATTCGCTTCTGATAAAATTCACGAAGGTTATGACTGCTTCCTGGAATAAATTTATCACAGTTAAATAACTTATTAAGCAGATATAAATGAAAGAGAGGCTAAGATTTTCAAAATTAACAATATGAGCTATTTCCTTCCTTCACCTCACCTTGTTCACTCACCACGAAAGTCCAATATCCCAGAATACATTACGGAATGCTAGTTCCAGGGTCTCGCTAGTAAGCTGTAGCGACCTTCTAAAAGTAACGTCAAGAATTTTCCAAGATGCCCGCAAGACCTACTGTGAGACATAAAATTGCACTGGTTGGAGATAGTGGGGTTGGAAAGTCCACCATTCTCTCAACCTTTAAAGGAGAACGCTTCAATCCCCTCTATGTGATTACTCGAAGTGAGATGCATTGAATTTCGTCCCAGTGGTGTTCTCGTCTATCTAGATTAGATTATTCCTAAAAACGCCAGTTTTGCTGAAAATTCTTTGTTTGTCCTTTAGAAAGAGAAATAAAGACTGCTGTGGTAAACGTTGGGAATGAAGTTGCAGAACTTCAAATATGGTGAGAGTTATAATTATGCTATTTACAAAAATTTACCGGAAGTCGGAACTCGTTCAACGTTGTTTTCTTACCTTCCCGTTATCCAAATTCAGAACTGCTTACTACCGAACTGCGTATTTAAGTCATCCTAGCAAAGAAAAAAGCATTCATAATCGTTACAAATTTTGAGGTACCCAGCTGTTGCATCTGTTGAAATAAGGACCTTAATTTTGCGAAGAAAAAGTATAATAAATTGTACGTGTTTTTGTTCGAATTTTTTCAACGTTTAGAAGTGACGAGTACAACTTCAAATTGTCTGAAATTGAACTTGACGTTTTCAGTACATAGATGATATATCATGATGACATTACTTTTTAATGATATCGATAAATTACAAGTTTTGAGGTACGCGACTGATGCAGTGCGCCACTGATCGATGGAGGTCGACAATCTACTGAGAGCGCTTATCGGAATATTCAAAAGCAAAAACAGCATTTTGGTTAAAAATATGTCGTATCGATAAAACGTGGCGCAACGTAATTACTCTTGATTTTATGATGATTTTCATTAGTGGAGAGCTTGTTTCTCCTTGGTATTTTGGTGATGATATCGTCTGATTTATTTCATCATTTGTCTACTGAACTGTGGTAAATACAGACTCAATTCAATGTAAAAGATTGGGCCATTCCATTTAAAATCCGCNTAGCTGAAGTTATAAGAAATCGAGACTGTAAGCTATGGAACATTATCACAGATACTCCTTTCCACCCCCTTTATCAACTATTACCTCCTTAGAAACAGAGATTTTTGCAAAACAGAGGACATGATTTTATTTTACCTGCTGTTAAAACAGAATGCTTTAAGAGATCCTTTATTAATAGGTGTAGGTGTCTTTTTAATTTTATTTAATTGTACTTGATCTTAAATTATTCATGTTTGTAAAGTCACATGTATGTTGTGACTACCTGACTATGGATAATGAATAAAGAAAGTTATTATTATTATTATTATTATTATTATTGTTATTATTATTATTATCAGGGACACACCTGGTAGTGCTGACTGCAGGACAATGACAGCTGCATATGTACAAGAAGATGTTCAGGTATGGGAGATCAAAAATTGAAATTGACATCCACAAAGTACTGTTGAGGCCTAGTGTTCAAGTGGACATCTTTGGGATAGAAAAGGTGTCTAATTAGCCTAGGCTGTAGATGGCATTTACTATTTTTAGTCAATTTTTTACAAGAGCCGATTAATAAGAGGTTTTTGGCCAGCATGAACTCTAGAGTGACATGCACTGTTGCTTAATGCAAAAATTATGTGATTGTCCAGTCCCAATATTTGACTTAAGTTTAACCACTTGAGTACAATCTGATTCTTGGAAATCTACCAAGTAACAACCCCTTTCATCTTTGAATTTAAACTTTGATGATCTCAGATGTCACTGAGAGGTTATGAACAGTTGCTTACTGTCACCAACAAAACTGTGAATTGCTCTTAGGTGGATTATAGTAGCATGAGATCTGAAATTTCAGTGTAGTAGAAGGACATGTTCGTGTAAATTGATTTTTCTTGAATATGAAAGAAAATAAACTTCAATTCCTTTTATGATAAGGAAGATACAGAACCAGTTGGTGAGTTTTTGTTTGTTTATTTGTTTTTAGGCTGCTATTGTTGTTTGCAGTGATTTCTAGAGGCTTAACTATTTAATTGAGTTGTTGGTTTGTTTGTCTGTTTACAGGGTGTGGTTGTAGTGTTTGATGTGACAAGTTATGATAGTTACATGAATGTTCAACATTGGGTCAAAACAGTAAACCAGGTAAGGGTCAGTTAACCTTCTGAGAGAGGTTAAACCTGTTGAGGGTTCAAATAACTCTTAAGCCAAGCACATATGCCCTGCTTAGTGTAAAATGATGTCCTTTGTATAGTTTGCAAGCAAGCTCCATGCTATATAAGCAATTTCCAGTGTATTTGTAATCAGCATGGGAGGATGCAGTAATAAGCAGCTGTTGAAAAAAAGACTTGAAACATATAATTTCAGCAAGCATTTTCCTGACAAATTATTGTATGACTTTGAAATAAAAGCTAGCGCTAAGAAGTCACGACGTTTCGACCTCTCTGAAGTCATTTTCAAGTGAGTTTC